GGGCTTGGTGCCAGCAGCTGCCCTGAGAAGGCAGGGAGGTTTTCCGGATTTCACTTTCCTTTGCTTCCTTTCGTCTCGTCAGATGCGAGCTCTGGGCCTAGATTCTGCCCCTCAGTAGAGTCAGTGGCCCGGGGCCTGGCCCCCACAGCTCTCCCGTCTTCTTCCCACAGTGCTGCCAAGTCCAAGCCCATCACTGCGGAACCTGAGATCCACGGCGCGCAGCCCCTGGACGGCGTGACAGGCTTCCTGGTGCTCATGTCTGAGGGGTTGTACAAGGCCCTGGAGGCCGCCCACGGGCCGGGCCAGGCCAACCAGGTGAGCTGGCTCAGGCTGGTGCGGCCGCCAGTGCCGCGGGCCTCGTGCTCGGCCATCCTGCTCAGGCTCCAGCCTCGGGTCCTCGGAGCCCGTGACCTCTGCTCCTCGCCACACCTGAGGGAAGAGAGAGCCGGAGCTCTGAGAACATCCAGCCCACCCAGAGCTTTGCTGGTTTGGGCTCGAAGCTGTGTCTTACCCGCAGGCCTAGGGAAAGGGGGCGAGACGGGAGAGGGCTTCCAGGGGCCTGCCTTGTCTGGAGGGTGTCGGGGGCCCAGGCAGAGCGCCCAGAGGGCTGTGGCCTCCAGAATCCTGGCCTGGGAGTGAGCCCCCCAGCTGCGTGCCTGGTCTCTAAGTGGCTCTGACCTCCCGCACCCGGGGTGAGGGTGGTGTGAGGGGCACGTGGGAACCCGTGGGCCTCTGGCAGCGACGTCACGGCCGGTTTCGGAAGGGAGCCGCCTTTCCCTGACCTTGGATTGATGGGTTGGTCCGATGCTCCCCCGGAGGTGACGCCTCTTGTGATTCTTGTAGGAAGAAGACCTTGGTGCTTTGCCTTTTTTTTCTTTCTAAAGATTTATTTATGCACACAAGAACTGGGTGCAGGCCAGAGGTACAGGGGCTGAGAGGGTTCACCAGAGGCAGAGTGGGGAGCAGACAGGCGGATGGACTGAAGTCCACTGCTGAGGGGAGCAGTGGGGAGACAGGTGAGGTCTGCCGCGCCCCGCGGTCACTCCCTGGATCGGGGTCATGCTGCCGTGGCTGGCAGTAGCTTGGGAGCTGAGACTCAGCCCCTCCCCCCGGGAGCCCTGCTTTGTCTACTCTAAGGAGACGGAGGAGTCTCAAGTGCCTGCCACACCTCACCCCCGGGTGGGGTGCTTCCTCCAGGAGCCTGCGGGGCCTGGGGTGCTGCAGCTGCTTCATGTGGGGCTGAGCCCACCTGGGCAGCCCGGCCGTCCCCGTCCCCCACCCTCCTGCCTCAGCTGGAGGACTTTGTATTCGTGGTTTTGATTTACCGTCAACATGCTTGCTTTGTTCTTGCCTTTACAATCAAATTGTTCGGTAGCTTCTAATGCCCTGGCTGCGGGTTTCTCTGAGGCAGGGCCCCGTCTTTATTCTGAGCCCCCCCGGTCCTGGCAAAGCTGGCACATCGTAGCCCACAGTGCATTTTGTTTCAGGGGAGGAAGCGTTTGGCCTTCTCCAGAGTGCCCTCGGGGCGTCGTGTCGTCTAATCCCCATAATGACCCAGTGAGGTGGACATGATCCCCCATTTTGTTGGTCTGGCAGCTAACAATCAGAAAGATCACAGGGTCACGCCTTCTCTCATGAGAAAGTTCCAGAAGGATTATCCTGAATACTCTGAGGAGCTCAGATTGCAGGGTTGGCTGCAGACACCCCCACCTGCTGGGCGGGTGACCCCCGTGTGCGGCTGGGCCTGCCCCCAGCTCCCTCAGCTCCTTACCAGGCTGCACCCCCCAGGAGATCGCCGCCATGATCGACACCGAGTTTGCCAAGCAGACGTCCCTGGACGCCGTGGCCCAGGCGGTGGTGGACAGGGTGAAGCGCATCCACGGCGACACCTTCGCCAGTGGCGGGGAGCGGGCCAAGTTCTGCCCCAGGCACGAGGACATGACCCTGCTGGTGCGGAACTTCGGCTACCCTCTGGGCGAGATGAGCCAGTCCCCCGCCCCAGGTACTGCGCCCGTGTCCCCCTCGCTGAGGTGAGGCCAGTGCCCTGGCTGCCCGCGACCCCCGCCTGGCCTCGTAATGCCCGGGCAGCCCGCAGGGTGGCAGCGGGCTGGGGCTCCTGTGCCCTTCAGGCCCCGCGCAGCCCTGAGGCTCGGGTGACAGGCGGTGCCCTCCCCAGAAGGGTCCAAGACCGGAAGGGAGACGAGGGGGAGCGCAGGCACGGGCCGCTCTGTCCTGCCCCGGCTCCGTGGCCCCTGGCGGGCCGGGCGGGCTGGGCGCTCCGCGGGGGAGGCCTTCCGCGCCGTCCCTTCAGCTGTCACCCGGTGGCCCAGAGAGAGACGGGCCGCTCTGTTCCTCGGTGCCGCTTCTCAGGCCGGCACGTCCTGTCGGGTGCCTGTCTGTCCCCTCAGACCTGTGCCCTCTGCGCCCGCCTCCACAGGCGTCGGGGTTGCCGGAGTTGCTCTGGCTTCTTGTTTTGCCGCCATATTTTTGTGGGGCCAGCCTCAGCTCGGCGCACACGCACCCCTGGGATGAGAGGGTCACGGGAGGCCGGGCAGCCTGGAGCGTGGCCACTTCCTGCCTGGAGCCCCGGAGAGGAAGGACGCCTGGCTGGGGGGATCCGCCCAGCTCCGAGCTGTCCCCTGGGCCCTGGGCCCTGCTGCGGCCTGAGCAGCCAGCGGGCAGCTGCCCGCCTCCCAGCCCCTCCGCCCCCTCACCCCAGGGTCCCCCTGGAGCTGCTGCGTCCCCTGCTCCAGGGTGCCCAGCTATTCCCTCTCTTCCAAAGCTGCAGGAGGTCGCGTGTACCCTGTCTCCGTGCCTTACTCCAGCGCCCAGAGCACCAGCAAGACCAGTGTGACCCTCTCTCTCGTCATGCCCTCCCAGGGCCAGCTGGTCAACGGGGCCCACAGCACATCCACCCTGGACGAAGCCACGCCCACCCTCACCAAGTAAGTCCCCTCGTGCTGCTTCTGAGGCCCACCGGCTCCTGCAGACCCGGCCCTCCAGCCGGGCCTGTGCCCAGCGGCCTTGGGCAGGAGCCCTGGGGTCTCGCACATGGGGGTCCGCCTCCAGGCCGAGTCTGGAAGAGACTGCAGACTCCATGGACGCCGGCCCTCGAGGGGGCGAGGCAGGGCGAGAGGGGAAGGGCGGCTCCGGGTCCGGCCACGGTGCGGACCGCTGCTGCTCACCGGGCCTTTGGCTGCAGTTGATGGTTGTCACTGAACGGGAAGGTCCTCCTCTGACCTAGAAGGGTCTGCTGCAGGCGGCCTCCTGCTTGGGGGCATCATCTGCCTGTCTCGGCTTGTCAGAGCCCTGCTCTCTGGCTCAGTGTCCGGTTTTAGCTTTGAAGTGTGTTTTCCTGTTTCAAGCGGGGCCGGGGGCTTGTGCGGGCACCAGCGGTCTGGGCCTGGGTGGAGCGGGCAGCCCCTCTGCTGCAGACCTGCCTGCGGGTCTGGTGTCCACCCGCCTTCACTCTGTGGAATGTTCCCCCAACCCCCACACGCCAGGGGACCAGGCTCTGGTTTCCACATTCCAGCCCTGCCTGGAATAATAGCGAGGCCACACCCTGCCCCTCTGAGGAGCCTGTGGCCAATGGAAGGGCTTGGGGGAGCGTGGCTGCTGCCCTGTTTCACAGGGGGTCTTCTCCCTGCCCCCACGCTGCTGCCTCCACGCTGCCCCCGCCGAGGGCTTAGGGCCTGCTAGGCCCGGGCCTTATGGTGCTGCCCTGGCAGGCCGCAGCCCTGCAAAAGGCAGAGCAGCAGAGCTGGCCCTGGCCGCAGGAGGCCAGCCCCACCCGCCCTGACTCCTGACCCCAGCAGCTCCTCCCGCGCGTCAGGGCCTGGCACCGCCAGCCCCGTGCTGGGCAGCGCCGTGCTGGTCCTGCTGCTGGGTCAGGTGGGGCCTGACCCTGTTGAGGGGAGTAGAGGGCTCAGTGACCGGCTAAGACCATCAGAGTGGGGGTCTGAGCAGGGAACCCCTCAGCGGGCTGCACCCCCAGAGCAGCCCCTCAGCTGCGTGTGTGGTCAGGCCACGCGCAGGCAAAGAAAGAACACGTCTCGGGATGGATGGCGCCCGGCAGGCTGCTGGTACTCGCCTGCGGGTGTAGATCGCTCCATGCCCCGAGTGTCTGATGTGAAGAAAGGCCGGTGCTCTCTGTGGGGCAGCTCTGCCAGGCAGAGGCGGGCTTGGCTCTCCCCTAGCTGGCGGGGCGCGCGGAGCCTGCGAGGAGGGGGCGGTGGGTGAGGGCGCCTCACCGACCTCTTGGTCACGGGCGGGGAGGCCGGTTCAGCCGCGGGCCACGGATGGCCGCCTCGGGACAGGCGCAAGAGGCTCTGACTTGAAGCCCGTGTAGGTGGCATGGGGCTCCAGAGAGGGAGCCCCCCGGCATTCCCCGTGTGGCCCCGCGCCCAGCTGTGGGGGATGAGGAGGGCGCTGTCGGGGAGAGTGGTCAGTGGAGTCTGGGCCAGGGAGGGCTGCAGGCCGGAATGCAGGCCGCCCTCCGGTCAGCGGGCGGTGAGCGCAGGGCTGTCCTCCGTCTCTGGCCATCCGGTCAGCGGGCGGTGAGCGCAGGGCTGTCCTCCGTCTCTGG